TAACAGGCAATATTTTTTTGTCCTTATCACGTTGATATTGACTCATAAATATGAATGTTTTTCTTATGACTCTGTTTGTATAAAAAGGACAAAAAACAGCAAAAATGGGAAGATATTAATTTAAATATAAATATTGTTCAAGAGAGTTAAGCCCTCTGCTATATGATTTAGTCAATATAAAAGTGAATAACTACAGTATGTAGCTCTTGGACATCTGCCATCTTGAATGGCATTCTAACTATCCTATTTTGTTTATATTTGAAATATGCGCTACAGTGACTCATTTGATAAGCTGTACATGTATGTTTCAACTGAACACAAATCAAATGAAAATTKTTTTCCTTTAAATATGTATTTTTCCTTGTTTGCTTTTACGCATTAATTTATGTGACCAAGCTGCATATAACTTTCTTTATTATTCAAATTGAAACCAAACAGCCCTTGGCATATATTATTTTGAAAATTAGGCATCCGTATGATATTTTTCATAGTATGTAATTAAATACTATGCAAAAATTCTAACCTTTCACTCTGTCCATACCCCTGCGTTAGAATGACCATGGTACCATGGTTTTTCATTGTCAACCATGGTCAACCATGTTTTGACTTTGGTCTAACCATGGTGGCTGACCATGATCAGAAAATAATGATGACCATGGCACACTGTCAACCATGGTCAAAATACATTTTGCTTGATTTTACCAAGAAAAGACATTAATTGATATAAATATGGGAAAACATAAGAAACAAAAGCTAAAAATGAGTTTTTAAATATTCTAAATTAATTTAATTTACATTTTTTTCATGACCATGTTACACAGTCAACCACAGTCAAAGTATAATAATGATGACCATGGCACACAGTCAACCATGGTCAAACAACATTTTGTTTGATTTTACCAAAAAAAAGGCATACATTGATTTAAATATAAGAAAATATAAGGAACAAAAGCTAAAATCAATGCTTAAATATTTTAAATATGTTTAATTTGTATTCATTGTCATGACCATGTTACACTGTCAACCATGGTCAAAGTTTATTATAATGATGACGATGGCACACAGTCAACCATGGTCAAAAGACATTGGGTTTGGTTTTCTTAAAAAAAACTTAAATTGATCAAAAAATGAGAAAATATAATGAATGTTAAATCTAAAAATTAATTCCTAAATATATATATAAAATTGGTTTACATTATTGTTATGACCATGCGTGTTACACAGTCAACCATGGTCAAAGTGTTAATAATGTTGACCATGGTACACAGTCAACCATGGTCAAAGTGTTAATAATGATGACCATGGTACACAGTNCAGTCCTCCTTGCAGGCAATGTTGACTTCTGTTTGCTAAACCACGAATGAAGCCTTTGTCCAAAGCAACTCTGACATGGGGAAGTGGTGAAATATTCAGAGATTATTACATGTTATGAGCTTGATATTATTTTTGCAGATATGGAAAACTAATTTGAACGTTATCCGAAACGACTTCAATCATGGATCAAAACAGCCTGGATCTAAATGACTTGAAATCAAAAAGACCGGTTACCATTAAGAATATTCTTAAGAATATTGCTCATATTTTATTGTGGTAATTATTTACTCATAAACTGATAACGTACTACAAATATTCCTTAATTTACAAGATCTGTTAAAAAATACAAACCAATAACTATATAAATACTGTAAATGCCTTTGTACAGTAGCTACAGTATCATTAATTACTGATAGGCACCTACATCAGAGTATCAAGAACAGAAGCCATCTATCATTAACCAATAATGCATAGTTTATCATTAAAAAATTCAATGCCGGTTAATGTTTTACCGCATAAAAGATGAAATACTCAAAATATCAAAAATCGCTCACACCGTTTTGTAGTTTATCTTTTGCTTATTCACATGGTGAAATTTGTTTTTGCTATACACGCTATAAATCCATGTCCATTAATTCACCTCTACTGAACGTGCCCGATTTGTGTTTAAGGCTCCGGCATTGTTTCACATTAAAATTTCGCATTTAAATAATACTATTTTCTGAATCTCTATCATATGACCTTTAAAATGATGTATATAGTTTCATGGGGTTTTGTTTAACATGTTGCGAAGAGAGAGTTTTAAACGAAACATCCCCCTGAATAAGGTCTCCAGTAACCTTAATACTAGAAGCATAAGTCTAATACGCCTCTGAAAAGGGTTACTTGAATTACATCTACATGTGGTTCCACAGGAAGCCTAAACTATAATAATAACATATAACAATTATGCTGCGTAATATCTTATGCAAACAATCTTAATGTCAATTAATATCAAGTTCTTGATAATTAAAATAGTTAAATGTAAAGACAATAAAATGAGTTCAGACAAAAATATTAAAATCCAGCAAGTAAAATTAACTTACCCTCAACTTGCAGATCAATTCTATTTTCCCTGGTAGTTGGTCTCAGGTTTGGAATTGTTACAGCAATCCTATATACATATGTTACATCAGGGTATAGGGGATCAAACTTTGTGCCATCTTTGTTATGGTCTTGAAGAAGTATGTTTTTGATTAAAAATGTGGCAAACCCTCTGGGTGAAATACCACTTGCATTTAGAGCATACAGAGWGTCATTATTAGTCTTGGTATAACCACTGGAATAATAACTTGCCATTTCCACCTTTGTTTGATCAACCTGAACATCTAATTTGTATCTGTTGATGACCAGGCTGTTAAAATGATCACCTCCATCCAGGTCAAACTCCCAGTGCAGTTTCACATCTGTACTGTTGTGGCCAATAACAACAACAAGTGGATTCTGACTGACTTCAATAAACTGAAAGCAATCTGGAAAAAAAAGAGGGTAACTTTTGTTCATGTTTGGGACATTGACAAATAGTTATTTATACATGGTTGAATGGAAATACAGATTTTATTTTCTATCTAGAAGACAAAGATTTAAGAACTTTAGTTTAATATACACTGTACTATCATCTTGATTTTCACACGTTTCTCTCATGTTCATTCAGCATCCCGCATTTTTAGATCAGAGTATCTAAAGCGGAAAACTGTTATATATTCATTAAATCTTATCATTAATAAATATATATTCTAGCCTTGAAATTATAGAATTAGTATAGGAAATCGCACATTATCTAGAGTACAATTTGGAATGCATAGGTATGAGTGATGTTTTGAAAGTTTTCAAAATTCGAAGAGCCTTTAGGAGAGTCCAAGTGATTTGAGAACTTTCAAAACATCACGAGTACCTATAAATTCCGAATTGTATGAGAAGATTGTGTGATGTTTTGTTTATGATAAACTCAAAAAAATTGAGCAACTTAATTGGGACTCTAAAGAGTACAATTTGCATAGGAAATCGCATGATCTCGAATACAATTTGGAAATTAATAGACACAAGTAATGTTTTGAAAGTTCTTGTAATTGCACCAGCCTTTAGGCGAGAGCAATTAAATAACTTTCAAAACATTACGAGTGTCTATTAATTCCAAATTGTACGAGAAGATCGTGCGATTTTTTGTTTATAGTTCACTCAACAAAATTCCAGTGAAAAATGCGAAGCGACACCGTTCATCTTTGTCTATTTGGCGGCCAACTTTCAGTCCATCGCGCAACTGAAATGTATAAAAAAGATTAGTTCTTATTAGTTTTTACGGCTTTCTTTTGCCGCTGTTGACATTGTTTTGGCCTTGTTTCCATAGCAACTTAATTCAGTACTCCTACGGAGTACAATTAGCGCTTTAATTGTACTCCTCTCGACCAATCAGAGTCGAATAATTTTGTTGAGTGTACTATAAGAGATTTAATTATTGTACTCCTCTTGTCCAATCAGAATCAAGTAATTTTGTGGAGTGTATTATAAAATTAGAAATAGTCAATGTGTGACTATTGTTTTCAGAACGTTGACAAACTCTCTCTTCCAGATTGCTATCACAGCAAACTAATTCACTGTTTGCAGCACACTCATGTCTATAAGATTTTAACTATGATGAATAATATCATGAACATGATAATGATTGATAGGCATTGTTTGTATTACTGTGACCATGATGTGATGCAGGAAAAAGCTACATACATCAGCACTTTATTGACAAGAATAATAGAATACAGGGTCTTACTTTGTCCTTAAATATTCAAAATCGGCAGAGGCTTATATGAAAATTTAAAATACACGGAATCCTGAAAAAAAGCCAAAATAAATTTTATTTTATTCTGGAAGACGAAAGAGCTTTATAAAATTTCAAGAATTTAGCTCATCGAATACTCATAGGCAGAAAAATAAAACTTTATCAGCTTAGAATAAAAATTTGGAAAATAAGCTTAAACTTAAGTGTCGCAAGAAATTTTGAATAAGCTTAAATATAGCTAACTTAAGCTTAATAACTAACTTAGTTTTACCATAACTTTATCAAGAATGTAAGAAAAAGATATAACTAGCTAAAAACTAGTGTGAGCTGCGTCGGTGTTTCTAATGAAACAGTAATGATGAAAAGGTAAATTATACACCGTGAAAAGATGAAAAAACKTACTGACGTTTCGGACGCTAGTCCTTCGTCGCTCTTTTACTCCGACGAAGGACTAGCGTCCGAAACGTCAGTACGTTTTTTCATCTTTTCACGGTGTATAATTTACCTTTTCATCATTACTGTTTCAAGAATGTAAGACTAAGCTTATGTTCATACTTACTTAGACAAGGCACCTCGAATATTAAAGCCCAATATAAAAAGAGAATTGTCCGCGACAAGTTTGAAAAGCCCATCTTCTGTAAATAAACGAGAAACGAGGAAGTAAACTGAAACAAACAGCGACACTTCGACGCTCCCAGCATCTGCTCGCTCAGAAACGAGGGTAACCTCGTTCTGATCCTACTATTACTAGGTTAGACTCTTCCACAGTCTCTCGCTCKTCCGTTCCGTCTCCACGCTTAGAGACTGTAACGGTAGAATGACCGAAAGGACTTATGGGTCCCGAAAACTTGGACCCAGCGTGCTTTGGGAACCAAAATACTCGTCCACAGTCTCTCTCGTTTTCGCCGCCATCTTGAAAATATTGAAACGAGAGAGACTGTGGACGAGTATTTTGGTTCCCAAAGCACGCTGGGTCCAAGTTTTCGGGACCCATGAGTCCTTTCGGTCATTGTACCGTTACAGTCTCTAAGCGTGGAGACGGAACGGACGAGCGAGAGACTGTGGAAGAGTCTATTACTAGGTTTGCCTGTAGACTTTTCCACAGTCTCTCGCTCTTCCGTTCCGTCTCCACGCTTAGAGACTGTAACGGTACAATGACTATGGGGTAAAATACCGGTCAAAAATACGTGTAGTATACATGTATTATACAAGTATCATACATGTAATGGCGTCTCAAACGTGTACTTAAATACATGCTTTCATATAAATACAGGTTTGTTAAACATGTATTTGTAAAGAAAGTGACAAGATACATGTGTCTGGTACATGCACAGGCTTACCATCCGAAGTATCTGTGGTTTCGGATGTGTGGGCTCCCTGTGGTCTCTTATGGCGTTCGCCCGTTAATAAAATTTTGAATTATCGAGTGATTTCAGCTTTTCAAAAATACATCTTCTGAAGACTTCCTAAGAATCAAATGCCGTCAAAATAAAGTTTAGTCATTCACTTCATGAAATTTGAGTGCTATTTCTTCGTCCGATGCGTTTTAAGGCCGGTTTTTGGCGTTTGGCGTGAGCTATGTTTGTGTGTGTGAGAGAGGAGAGGAAAGGGGAAGGCAGGCAACAAAACTTGACCACCGCTCGATCTAGCCCATCAGAATTCAAATCCAAGAAAAATCTCACCAAAAATATACCAAGGCACGATCAAAGAGATCCTAAGCTATTGATACAACTACTGGCACAAATGAATGTACATTTTCTGTTAATGAACAGCAAAAGGTGTACAATGCCGAACAACAACTCATCAGTATTCCATCCGGTCGTGAAACCGCTGGTCACACATTTTGAATACATTACACATGTAAATTTGTTTTCTCAATTTCATTTATGTTTCTTTCTTTTTTTCTTTCTAACTTTCTTTCAGACCACGTGTCATTCCCTTGAGAATAACTAACACTTATTTACAGGGACCGAGGGAAACAGTATGTCTTGTGGTCCCGAGACCGCTGATGTTTCACGAGACGGAGCCGAGGGAAACATAAACGGTCGAGGGACCACAAAACATACTGCTTTCCCAAGGTCCCAGTAAATAAGTGCTTTATTATCTCACCAAGTGTCAAAGAGAACAAGAAAATCGGAAAGGCTCCATGTTTAATATGATGTTTCGTGAAAGAAAACGTGTGAATGAATTTTGCAAACGCGCGCTCAAATGTGTTGCTTTCTGATTTCTGGTTTTTATATTTTTTCAATCACGTGACTTCCGGTTTTGTTATTCCCGGTCCATAACATAATATTCCCCTCCCAGAATGGTCGCCAGGAAACAGTGGAATTTCTTCGCGTTCACGTGACACACTCTCGACCAATAGAAATTGAGGAAAATTGAACTTTGACACTTGGTATATAATAATCTTCTTTGTTTGAGTTGTATCCATATTCATGTGTATTCTCATGTGCAACTGAGCGCAAACCTTAAACAAAGAAATGATGTTCTAGGGAATGACACGTTGTTACACCACGTACAAAATGTAATAACTCGCACAAAATGTAATACTGACACAAAATGTAATACAAACTGACACAAAATGTAATAACATTTGACACAAAATGTAATAAAGCTGCTAACACAAAATGTAATAAAATTTGACACAAAATGTAATAACTTTATTAACGCAAAATTTAATAAATTTTGACACAAAATGTAATAATTACTTACTAACTTACTTACTTACTTACTTACTTACTTACTTACTTACTTACTTACTTACTTACTTACTTACTTACTCCCTCCCTCCCTCACTCACTCACTCACTCACTCACTTACTCACTCACTCACTCACTCACTTGATGGTAGCTTGCTTGCTTGCTTGCATCCTTGCATGCATGCATGCTTGCTTGCTTAAGGTGACTGCCTACTTTTGGAAATTGATTTAAGCTT